AGAATGAAAGAAAGGACTGGCAGGGTTATGCCAGGCCTGCCTACCCTCCTGGTCCCCACTCAAGCCTTGCTCCTCCCCAGGGCTTCATTCTCACTCAGGTCACCCCACCTGCCCCGTCACCTCCTTCCTTTCTCTATCCCTGCACAGAGGAGGGGCAGCGGCTTCGGGGTTAGGCCTGACTTTACATTCTTCCACTTGTTAGCTAGGCCACCTTGAACCAGCTGCTTTATACCCCTGAGCTTCAGTTTCCACAGCTGCAGGAGGGGAACAACGGTCCTCATCCCGCAGGATCACTGCAGGGACCAAATGTGACCAGGATAGGCTGACACACAGCTGGTGCCTAACCAGCACCATCCCTGCCTTCTCAGTGCTTCCCGCTCCTGCCCCACCCCCAAAGGGAACCTGCTCACTTTTCCCACAACCCCACTCCCAAAGCTTCAGGCGGCATAGAGGAGGTGATGACGGTTGCTGCCTGTGGCTTTCGATGCAGGTAACTGGGTCTGCTGGCACCCCTCCCCTGCCTGAGCTGCTGGGCCTGGGGTAGCTGAGGGAGAAGAGAAGAAGTAGGAGGGTTGGGCACACCTCTCCAAAGCAACCTGCACCTGGCCAGCAGGGGAAAGGCAGAATGAAACACACTCCCAAGTGGGATGGACCACTCCCAAGCCCCTGTCCCCTCTTGCCTCTGGCCTGAGACCCAACCCCAGTCTCCGAACCCTCCCCACTGCCCAGCCCGGCCTGGCCCAAGGTGCCTTACGTGGATCTCCTCATCTGACGTTTCCACCTTGAAAGGGTGGATGCTCTCGTCCTCCCTGGCTGCCGGCCTCGTGCCCGGCCCCCACCACCCATCTTCAAGTGGCAAAGTTTCCTCTTTGTCCCGGGACATCAACCAGTAGATGGCAAAGGCCAGCACTGAGGTGAGGATGATTTCTAGCCACATGGCTCCTGCAAGACCAGGGGAGGCCATCAGCAAGAGAGCCCGCCCAGCCCGGCCCGACAGCCCAGAGACTCCGATTCCCATCAGCAAGAGAGCCCGCCCAGCCTGGCCCGACAGCCCAGAGACTCCGATTCCCATCAGCAGGCTCTTTCCTGCTGCACTTCAACCCCGTCCCTGATTTTATTTACATTTGACCCAAGTATATATACATAAGAGATATAGAAAAGTGAGAAAACAACAGACCATGAGACAAATCACCCACAATCCTACTAAGCTTTGGAAATTGTTCATCATCCTGGGAAAATGAGAACCTGGGTTGGCTTCTGCATGGCCCTGGGTAGGGGGTTTTGGGAGCTGCGTTTCTGAGGCCCCATGTTTTTTGCCTGACTGAAAAGGCTCTGTCCATGCCCTGTGGCCTCCTTCACCCAGGGGAGAGGAGCGCCGTTCCTGAGTGGTGGCCCACGGCCCCTGCTCTGTCCCTCTTGGAGAGGGGCTTGTCCTCAGGGAAGACAAAGAGTAATGGGGGGGTCCGAGTGCTGGGACAGTAAGTTCAGTCTGGGGTGGGGGGGCACTGTAGGAAGCCCAGCCATGGCCACACATCTTAGCTGCGTGTGTAAGAGCTTTATTGAAACATAATTCGTATACCGTACAATTCGCCTGTTTAAAGTGTGCACTCCACTGGTTTTTAGGATGTTCACACCCATGCACAACCAGTCAACTGTAGAACATTTTCATCAGCACAAAGAAACTCCACAGCCTTCAGCTACGGCTCCTTACTGCCCCGCTCCACGCTAGGTCCTAAGCAGCCTCTAATCTACTTTCTGTGTCCAGAGTTGCTTGTTACATTTCATATCAACTCAGTTGTGTTTTAATCCCCATTTGTCTGACTCCAGTTTCTGTTTTGCTCAGAAGGGGAAGAAAGCTTACTCTTGGCAAAGCACTATCGGGCAGATACCAGGCCAGCATTGTTATCTAGTTCCTCATCTTCCTCATTCCCAGGGAAGTAACCCATAGGCTGTTCTTGTTCAGAGTAACCTGCATGAATATGTGGGCCGTCCTCATGCCTGAGTTAGAGGAGGTTGTGCCGGATGCAGTGCAGGTAGGACCCAGGCGGAGGAGAAAGCATCGTGTCTTAGATGAGGCCCCCGCAGACCACCCCCGAAGCAGCACCCCTGACTCTGTCTTGGAAACCCAAGGCAGGAGCCGGTCCCTGCTGGGAATCCCACCACTTTCATGGCCTCCACTGGCTACACATCACATGTTTGGGACTCTGCTGGGGGTTTGCAGAGGACCTGGGGTTTGCTCCTGTCAAGAGCTGCCCCTCTAAACCTACAATTGGGCCACTGGGGGTCACTGTAAGAAATACTTGTCCACAGCCGTCCAGAGATAGAGATCCCAACAGAAATCCACCCAGGGCGATGGCTCTCACCTTATTCCTGCAGTTCGGTAGGAAATCTAATCAGGAAAATTGGCCTAGCACCCCCCAGCTCCCCATTTCTGTCAGTGGTCCCAGTGATCTCCCAGTTTCCACCCTCAGGCACTGAAGTCATCTCTGATTCTGCCCCCACACCCCATCGCCAAGTCCTGATGCCATCAGATTCAACCCCCTTTGTGCCTAGACCCCTCCCCTGGACCAGAGCCCTTATCACCCCACATGTGATTATCAAGACAGCTTTCAAGAGAGGAACCTCCACCCCCATCTCTCATAGTCACCAGCACACTTCTTAGAACTCACTACAGCCTTCCTCCTGGGACCATGCCCAGGTGTCCACCCTTGAACTTCCAATACATCTCCCTCTGTGGGTTGTGAAACTCCGAAGTGCCTCAAGGTCTCACTGATCAACATTTACTCAGTCCACCACGTGCTGGGGGCAGGCCTTCGCCATCCCTGCTGGAGACACAGGGGATGTGTTGATGCATGTTCCATCTCCAGCCAAGCCAGGCTGTGCCTTTCATTCCTTTTTTTTTCTTGAGACAGAGTCTCAAAGAGTACAGTGGTGCGATCTCAGCTGACTGAAACTTCTGCCTCTAGGTTCGAGAAATGCTTGTGCCTCAGCCTCCTGAGTAGCTGTGACTACAGGTGCGTACCACCATCTCCTGCTAATTTTTGTATTTTTAGTAGAGATGGGATTTCACCATGTTGGCCAGGCTGGTCTCAAACTCCTGACCTCAGGTGATCTGCCCGCCTCAGCCTCCCAAAGTGCTGGGATTACAGGCATGAGCCACCGCGCCCGGCCCTATGGCTTTCATCTTTCAATCCCAAGGAGCAACAGTGCATGGGTCCCAAGTACCCTATATATGTCAGCTGATCAGATGGGCAGCTGGGACCAGCACTCCCACAATAAAAGCAACGCAGGGAATAGCTGGAAATGAATTCCTCTTATTTTAAGGAATTCAGAAAAGAAAACACATGCATCAGCTTCTTTCATTTCCAGAAAGACCTTATGTCCCTGCCAGGAAATCCTGCCCTTTAAGAAGACGGGGAAATATCAGCTACGAGCCCCTGCGGTATGGAAAGCAGGACTAGGGATTAGGGGCTGGGACACACATGGAGAGTGTCTGGGAGGCAGCGGAAGGCAGAGAGCAGAACCCCCAGCAGCAGGAGCAGCTGAACACACTTCACGGGGCCACCAGATCCCACCACAATAAAACACAGTTTGGGAAGGCAGGGCTGTGCCCGTCCTGGTCACTGCCTTGACCCCCAGTGCCCAGCCCCGGTCACTGCCTCAGCACAGTGAGGAGCTCCACCAATGCTTGTGCCAACTGCATAAGCACTAGAAGCTAGTAAGACACATTTTGCACGATGTTGCCAAGGAGGCTGCAAGCATAATGAACAACAAAGAGGGATCACCCTCCCCAGTCAGCTTTACAAACCACGCTCCTTACCTGAACTTCAGCACAGAGGAAGTTCTGTCACTTCCCTCTAGGATATAAACGTGCAACTTTCCCTTTTCTGGGCAGAAAGATCCCAGTGCTTTTACCTGTCCACCAGGGCTCCGCGTTCTCACCCTCTGATCACTCCTTGAGGAGGAGAGCTGTGGAGCTCTGCACCTGGCAATGCTCTAGGGGCCTGTGGGAGAGGCAGGGCATGCAGGCCTTTTGACAATTGCACAGTCCTGCCGACTCAGCCAATCTCATGCGTGCACAGCGTGGTTATCTCCCCTGGACTTCACATAGCAAACTGAACCACGTTGACCCCAGAGATAAGTGCTGAAATGATCAGCGCTTGAGTCCCATCTAAAAGAAGGGAATCTAGGACAAGGGGCATTATGATGGCCCCCACCAGCACTGCCCTGGGTATCACCCAGGAAGAGAGGGCAAAGTGACAGATTCAAGGAGAAATTTTAAAACATGATCTGTTACATTCTAATTAAGATAAAAAGAATATTAGTACTTGACTCAAGGATGGTGCCTTACAGCCTCTGATGTCAGATTACAAACAGCCTCTACTGCAGGGTATTACTTTGCCACCTAGTCACAGCCCTTTATTTAATAGCAAGTATTTAATGCACCAAAGAAAGGCTAATCTAGCCTGGTGTGACAGCAGGTGTCGACTGTGTGTGGATGGGTTTTCAACCCCGCTGCCGCTGTGGGTTCCCGAATGAACTGTCCTTCTCCTTGCTGCAGGCTATACTCACTTTCACCAACCCCACCCCAAGGAACCCACTCTGGGGAGGACACATGGACCAAGGCTCCATGCCTGCGTCTGCTCTGTCGGGGAGCTGCACAGGCAGGCGCCCTCTTGACTCAGCCTCAAACCTTTGCTTTCCTCTTGCTTTAAATAAAGCCCAAGCCCTGGTGAGGGAGCCCGGAGACCTGAGGGCATCCTGCTGAGCACCTGGCACTCCCTAGACCCTGGTACATGTAATCCATGGAACATGCAAATCCACCCACTAAAGAGCCACAGTTCATTGAACTTGACTTTCCTTTTCACTTAAGGCAAGAATCAGAGTAGGCAAGGGCTTTGCCCTAAATCACACTGCAGTTGTGAGGATTAGAATCTGTGGCCACAGAACTCACTCCTGGTCTGTCATGAGGCATGCTGCATCCCTGCCCCCCCTTCTTGTTCCCTCTCAGCACTTGTTTGCACCCTTGAGCCTTCAGGCCAGAAGGGACTCCCAGAGCACAGACCAGCCACAACTGCACGGGAGCCACAGAAGTCTCCCAGGCCTACACAGCTTTTCTCAAAAAATGTAATAACGCTTTTTCTGGTCGCAGAAGGAGGATGATGAAGGGAATGTCATCGTTTGGGAAGTGCTGTAATAAGATGCACACATTGTGCCGACGCTGTGGCTCTAAGACCTACCACCTTCAGAAGTTGACCTTCGGGCCAGGCGCGGTGGCTCAAGCCTGTAATCCCAGCACTTTGGGAGGCCGAGGCGGGTGGATCACGAGGTCAAGAGATCGAGACCATCCTGGTCAACACGGTGAAACCCCGTTTCTACTAAAAATACAAAAAATTAGCTGGGCATGGAGGCACGTGCCTGTAATCCCAGCTACTCAGGAGGCTGAGGCAGGAGAATTGCCTGAACCCAGGAGGCGGAGGTTGCGGTGAGCCGAGATCGCACCATTGTGCTCCAGCCTGGGTAACAAGAGCAAAACTCCGACTAAAAAAAAAAAGAAGTTGACCTTCGGCAAATGTGGCTACCCCGCCAAGAGCAAGAGAAAGTATAACTGGAGTGCCAAGGCTAAAAGACGAAATACCACCGGGACTGGTCGAATGAGGCACCTAAAAATTGTGTACCGCATATTCAGGCATGGATTCCGTGAAGGAACAACCCCTAAACCCAAGAGGGCAGCTGTTGCAGCATCCAGCTCATCTTAAGAATTTCACCGATTAGTCACGCAATAAATGTTCTGGTTTTAAAAATACAAAAAAAAAAAAATGTAATAACAAGAAACAACATCCTTCCCTTCCTGGTGGGTCAGCCAGCCTTGGGAAGGAGTTGGGTGGGGGTGGGAGGGTCTTAGAGTCTGACCAATCAGAATCCAGGCACCCAATCTCTAGCTGCCTGACCCCGCCCACATGCTCTGCAGCTACCAGCGTGGGAGAACTGCAGATGCCCACCGCCCAGGCAGGGAGGGTCTAGGGAGTGCCAGGCGCCCAGCAGGATGCCCTCAGGCCTCCGGGCTCCCTCGCCAGGGCTGCCGCTTTATTTGGAGTAAGAGGAAAACAAAGGTTTGAGGCTCAGTCAAGAGGGCGCCACTCTGCCTGCCCAGCTCCCCGACAGAGCAGACACGGGGGTGGAGGCTTGGTGACTCCCTCCATCCTCCCCAGGGTGGGCTCCTTGGGGTTGGGCTGGTGAAATCGAACATCACCCACAGCAAGGAGGACTGTTCATGTGGGAACCCAAGACGGCAGCAGGCCTGGGGTGGGCTGGAGAGGGGGTGGCACTAGGCAGATGACAGAAGCCTCCCCTCCCTCTCATGGCCTCCCTCTCTCATGGCCACCTGGCACTCAGAAGACGAGCAGGGCTGCATCAGCCCTATATCCACAGGGTGGGCCAGTCGATAAGTCACAGCTACGGGGCATGGAACCTGGAGAGGAACTCAGCAGCCTGGAGTCCAAACCCCTGCTGCGCAGCTGGGGAAACAGGGGGCGGAGAAATGACTGAGTCTGGGGAAGTGTGGTGGCCAACTTGGGTGATGCCACTTAAGGAGCCAGCCTGGCTTTCCCGGAGATTTCCCATCCCGTAGTTCCCCCAAATCAGCAACCCTGACGACCTTTGACTTTAGAAATGAAAACATCTTGGAGGTTACAATAAGGCTTTGGCCCAGTGTGGTGGCTCATGACTGTGAAGCCCAGCACTTTGCAGGGCCAAAATGGCGGATCACTTGTGGCCAGGAATTCAGTATCAGCCTGGGCAACATAACAAGACCCACATCTTTTTTTTTTTTTTTCTTCTAATAAAAGATGGGGTTTCACCATGATGGCCGGGCTGGTCTTGAATTCCTGACCTCAGGTGATCCACCCACCTCGGCCTCCCAATGTGCCAGGATTACAGGCATGAGCCACCACGCCTGGCCTGACCCTCACCTTAAAAAAAAAAAAAAGGCAGGGCATGGTGGCTCACGCCTGTAATCCAAGCACTTTGGAGGCCAAGGCGGGCGGATCACCTGAGGTCAGGAGTTCAAGACCAGCCTGACCAATATGGTGAAACCCTGTCTTTAAAAAAAATAAATTTTAAAAAAGGAATAAAGGGGTTTCTCGCTTGCTTTCCTCTTCAGGTAGTTCAAATCTCGGCTCCACTATTTACTAGTTGAGGGGCTCTGGGCAAGTTATCAAACCTTTCTGAGCTCAGTAGCTGCATCTGTAAAATGGGGATAATAATGTGGAACTACTTATTACCAACATGTGTGTTCCTTCCTCTTCCCCGAAATCCCTAATTACTGTGGAGGATCTCTGCATTGTAACAGGCCCCAGAGGAGCCCCTGTTCCTGTTAGATTATTTAGCCCACGCCCCAAGGTCCCGCTGTAGCCATGTGCACATAAACAGGCTGGGCGTGAGGGAGTGCATGGCGTCAGGCACTGTGGTCTGGGAGCATCTGCTCTCCTCTCTGTGTGCCTTCACCAAGGATGTGATTTGGGAGGATGACCAAAAGCAGAAGGCTATGTACATGTTTGGCTATCAGTATTTTGCAAGATATGTCCCTGGGGTAGTCCCCACCCCTCTTCCATCTGTTCAGAGAAGGTGCATTCTCAGCATCAAGGGGCAGAATTCTGGTGGCTAAGCCTTCACCTTTCCAAGGAGAGCTATATTCATCTCTTCCCCATGGTCAGCTCCTGCTGATGTAGCAAACTTTTGAACTTCTTCAAAACATCAAGGTTTAGGAGACGCCATGAAAAAATTCAGAAGTAAAACAATACAAAATGAAAATGCCTTCTTTATTTTGCTAGTACCTGAAATCAGAGCTTCACTGATCTGCCCCAAAAGTTCCAGACAGCTATTTTATCTGATTAGGGTTTTTGTTTTGTAATGCACTTTTGCAGAATACGGACAAGTTATTGGACTGAGAGTTTGAGGGGCAGGAAGTTGGAGGCGAAGTCTTTCAGAATGAAATCATTTTTTTCTTGAAGCCAAGGTACTCTTCCCAACAAAATGGTTCACTTGCCTAGTAAAGAAAATACAATTTTTGTTGCAAACCAGCATGATTTTTAAAAAAACACGACTGGAAGACAGTGGTCATTTAGCTACAAGATACTGAGCTCAGAGGGGAACTTGATAAACAATTGGCTTCTGTGGTAAGAAGTGGGATTGTATATATTTTAATTCCAATTCTACACTGAAGTCAAATTTTAGTCATGCATTGGTGAAACTTTGAAAAAAATCACACCAAGTTCAAGTTGAAGAAGTTAAATTTCTTCAATACTCTTTGCCCTTCAAAGATGGACTACATGTAAACTATTAGAAAGCAATAAATGTAGCAATCATGTTCACTTAAAAAAAAAAAGCAACAAATGATACAAGTGGAGTATTTTGTTAGTTTGCTTGTGTTTTATCTTTCTGGGTCTGGCATATGAGACAATTTTAAATACAGGAGCGCAAATAAAGTAGGTGCTTGGTTCTTTGGCACGGTTAAAAGGTAAAATAACCTATAATCCCAGCACTTTGGGAGGCCAATGCGGGCAGATCACTTGAGCCCAGGAGTTTGAGACCAGCCTGGGCAGGATGGCAAAACCCAGTCTCCACCAATAATTAAAAAAAAAAAAGCCAGGCTTGGTGGTGCATGCCTGTGGTCCCAGCTACGCAGGAGGCTGAGGTGGGAGGAATGCTTGAGCCCAGGTGAGGCTGCAGTGAGCTATGATCATGCCACTGCACTCCAGACTGGGAGACAGAGCAAGACCCTGTCTAAAAATAAAATAAATAAATAAATAAATAAAAAGAACCGAAAAACAGGCTGGGTGCGGTGGCTCATGCCTATAATTCCAGCACTTTGGAAGGCCGAAGCGGACAGATCACCTAAGGTCAGGAGTTCGTGACCAGCCTGGCCAACATGGTGAAACTCTGTCTCTACTAAAAATATTAAAAATTAGCTAGGCATGGTGGTATGTGCCTGTAATCCCAGTTACTTGGGAGGCTGAGGCAGGAAGAATTGCTTGAACCCAGGAGGTGGAGGTTGCAGTGAGCCAATATCACGCCACTGCACTCCAGCCTGGGAAATACAATAAGACTCTGTCTCAATAAAAGAAAGAAAGAAAAAATATACTTGAGAATGTGAGGATTTCATGGTTGAGTGAAGAAAGGTGGTCCAGACAGGAGATTGATTACTCAGAACTCAGCGATTCACCACAGCTGTCTGTGATGAGCTGGTGGGTGCGGCAAACCGACCACCAGATTGGGATGCCGTGGCTGACTGCCAGCAATGTCCTCCCCTTCTTCCTTAGCAAAGGAATTTTAACTTTGGTTGGAGAAGACCAGCCAAACACTTTACATTTCTTGGCCCCCTCACAGCTAAGTATGACAGAGTGCTTAAGTGCGGACAAAGAGCTATAAACGTATTTGAACAGAGCCACCTGTGGCCCAGATAGTACCTGTGTCAAAATTTCCCCAGTGCATCTGAGATTGCACTGTGATCCTGCCCCCCCACTCCACCCAAACTTTGTCTTCTCTTGGTGTTCCTTCTCACAGTAACTGGCACTAACCCCCCTCCTACTGCCAAGCCAGAAACCTAGGCGATGTCCTTGTAACCCCTCTGCTTCACTCCACCACAGATATCAGCAAGTTCCGGCAGCTCAACTTTCAAAGTACATCTCAAATCCATCTCCCCTGCCACAGCCCAGCCCAGGCTCCTGTGGCTCTCCCCTGGACTACTGGAAAGCAGCTGCCCGGTCCACTCACGCCTGCTCTGCCCCTTCCCACACAATTGCCACTCTGTAGCCACAGCAATCTTTTTAAAACAAAACATTTGGCTGGGCGTGGTGGCTCACGCCTGTAATCCAAGCACTTTGGAGGCCAAGGCAGGCGGATCACCTGAGGTCGGGAGTTCAAGACCAGCCTGACCAACATGGTAAAACCCCGTCTTAAAAAACAAAAAACATTTTTTTTTTAAATTAAAAAAAATGGAGACAGGTTCTTGCTATATTGCCCAGGCTGGTCTCGAACTCCTGGGCTCGAGTGGTCCTCCTGCTTTAGCCTCTTAGCCTCCCAAATAGCTGTATTACAGTCATGAGCCAGGCCAGAGTGATTTTTGGGAATGCAAATCTGATCATGTATGTCACACCCCCTGCGAAACCCTTAAAGAGCTTCCCATTGTCCTGGGGTTAACGTGGCCTTCAAGGCCTGTGTGATCTGACCACTGACCTCTCCCCTAGCTCCTCAGAGTGCTACTGGTATCAACATTATGGAGAAATAGTCTACTTGAAAGCTAAGTGAGAGTTTCAGGGTTCGACTCTCACGCTGTCGCCCTGATCTTTTAGTTTTGTGCTCACCATGCTATGTCCTACTGTGTGGCTTTATGAAGGCAAATCCCTCTGTCTGAAAAGCTATTCCCTCGCCTTCCCACTTCCTTAACTTCTACCCACCTTTCAGATTTCAGACTGACTGTCCCTCCTCTGGGTAGCCTCTCCTGACCTATCCCAGGCAAGGCACATCTCTGAGTCTGAGCCTTCATCGTGCTCACATTTGTCAGTGTGATTACGTGATTGACAGCTGGACGGAAGCTCCTGTAGGGTACTGACCATGTCCGCTTTGACTCCCATCTGGACTCCCAGTGCCTGGCATTCTAGTGGATGCCTGGTTAATTATTTGCTGAATGAATGAATGAATTTAAAAATTCTTTGAATGAGAGCATAGAAAATTAATCAGAACTTTTGATCAAGAAGAGCTTAATTCTCCTTAAGGAATAATAAATATAACCTACTTAGCCTAGTTGGCAGAGACAGACCCTAAGGTGCGGGAAAGTGTTGCGTAGGGGACATGAGGCTCTATGGAGAAAGCCCGCTGACCCCAAAAAAAGACTGGAGCACCAGTATCCTAGGCACACTACAAATAGCAGGGGTTTGGGTCTAAAAAGATGGGGTCAGACTCAGATCCAGCCGCACACAGTAAAGGGGCAGGTCCACCACCTGCCAAAGACTCCCCTCCCCAAAGCCAGGCAAGCAGTCAGAACCTCACTGTTAGAAGGTGCTCCTAATATTGCAGGAAACTGCTAGCTGGTTATGACTCAGCACTTGCCATGTGCCTGGCCTTGGCTAAGTGCATCGTATGGCAGAATGCCATGTGTTTTTCCAGAACAAAGGCCATGAGGTGAACCTAGCCCTAGGACAGCTGGGCAGGCCTGGTTCTGATTGCGAGTTTCCCTAATAGTGACTGAGGCTCAGCAGCATGAGAACCTGGTGCTTCTCCTGTGGGTAGTCTGCCTCTTTTCGGAGGAAAGTGTGGGGACAGAGGGGTCAAGGGAAAAACTATGGCACGGCCTGCTGCTCAGATGCTGGGTGAGAGAGGCAGGCGGGCTTGGAGGGTCTGCTGCGTTTGCAGGCCTGGTCCCAAGCCTGGCCCCATCCTGCCCTCCCCAGCACCCCAGCCTCACCATTCCTCCCTGGGGCAAGGCGAAGGGAACATCCAGTGGAAAGGGAAAAACAGATGGCTTCCCCCCATTCCTGGCCCGCCTGCCAAGCAAACGCAGGATGGGAGCCTGGGAGCGTTCCTGCTGTGAACTCCCCATCAGCAGCCGGCTGAGCCTCCCAGGGGCTTCCCAAAAGCCACCCTGAAGCCCTACTCCCTTGGCTGGCCCAAGAGTGATGGGGGCAAACCCCAGAGGCAACTCCCAGCTTCTCCATCTTCAGCCATTGTCCCTGAACCCCAAGGACTCCCAGAGACTCAGGATGGGGGAGGCCGGATGCAGGCAAGCTGGGCTTGTGCGCCAGGCCAAGGGCCATGTTTATCTCTGTGCAAGAGCCAGAGCCAAGCCCTGGGAGAACAGCTTAGAGCCAGAAACCAAGGGAAGGGAAGAGTGTAGTCTGCAAGCAGGAAAAAAAAAAAAAGGCAGGGGGAGAGTAAAAGAGAAGAAAAAAGTGTCGGGAGGCAGCCTTCTTGGGGACAAGAGTGCTGTTCTGTGGCCCGAGAGAAGGGCGTATCACCCTCTGCGTGGGAGGGAATTCCCTCCACCTCCATGCTGTCTACCCGTCTGGAGAGATAGGAAGAAAACAATTTGGGATTGGCACTGGGATGCGAATGTGGCAGAGGCAGCGCCGTGCCGGCCCGCTGGCGGTTAGGCCCCCACTGCCTGCTTTGCCGCCTGCCAGCCATGTAGCCTCAGCTCAGTGCCTCCACTTCTCCAGGCCTCAGTGGCCCCATCTGCTGTGGAGGGTCTGGAGAGGGGAAGGGGAAGGCCACGCGGGTGGGAAGGCCACGCGGGTGGGCTGGCCAGACCGTGTGCACCTTCGGAGAGGGGATGGCTATTTCCACCATCTTTACATGCCACACAACCTTTAGGTTACAAAACTCCAGAAGATGAGACATTTGAGGTCCCGTTCCATCTTACGTCCTGCCAATTAAAATGAGAGCTGCTGAGCTTTCCGTTGGTTCTAAATTACCAGAGAAAAAAACCCAAGCAGATCCCAGTTCACCACCTATAAGGAAAAAGCATTGCCTTCTGTGGAATTGCCTTGACATTCTCTTTAAAATTTTTTTTTATCTTTTAAAATAAAAAAAATCAGAACAACTTATTTAAAAAAAATTTTTGGCCAGGCGTGGTGGCTCATGCTTGTAATCCCACCACTTTGGGAGGCCGAGGTGGGCGGATCATGAGGTCAAGAGATCGAGACCATCCGGGCAACATGGTGAAACCCCGTCTCTACTAAAAATACAAAAATTAGCTGGGCATGATGGCACATGCCTGTAGCTCCTGCTACTCAGGAGGCCGAGGCAGGAGAATCACCTGAACCTGGGAGGCGGAGGCTGCAGTGAGCTGAGATTGTACCACTGCACTCCAGCCTGCTGAGAGCGGGACTCTGTTTCAAAAAAAAAAAATTTTTTTTTAAGACAGAGCTTTGCTTTATTGCCCATTTTGGAGTGCAGTGGTGCGATCTCAGCTCACTGCAGTCTCCACCTCCCAAGTTCAAGCAATTCTCCTGCCTCAGCCTCCTGAATAGCTGGGATTACAGGTGCCCCCCCTCACCACCATGCCTGGCTAATTTTCAAATTTTTAGTAGAGAAGGGTTTTGCCATGTTGGCCAGACTGGTCTCAAACTCCCTATTCTCAAGTGATCTGCCCCCTTCAGCCTCCCAAAGTGCTGGGATTACAGAGATTACAGGCGTGAGCCACTGTGCCCGGCCAGTCCTTGGCATTCTCTATTTGAGTGAAGAGAGGCTCCTATTTCAGGGGTAATAGGAGTGGATCATATAACACACCTATTGGATTTCCTTCCCACCATTAACCACACTCTGTACCTTCCCCTTCTCCCCAAGGTGGCTTTTCCTCAACAATGTGCTCCGCGATTTGGAAGCTTCCTCGCAGTGTGTAACAGGAGAGCACAGAAAGCCGGGTCTCACGGAGGAGCCTGAGCTTGCCGTCTCATCTAGCAGAGCAGCGAGAGGACTGGGGGTGCCTCCTGCAGGGCAGCCGAGGACGAGGGTCCCAGCTCTGAGGAATACTCCGGGTTGTTTTATCGTGGTGGGGGTTAGTTTGCTTGTGGCAATGTTTAGGTTGCAAAAAAGGAGTTTAAAAGTTCCAAAAGGCTAAAAATATTTATGGGGTTCAATCGAAACTCCTGAAGGCAACTCTGAAATTAAGTTGTTCCATCTTGGCCGGGTGCCCTGGCTCACGCCTATAATCTGAGGTGGGTCACTTGAGCCCAGGAGTCCAAGACCAGCCTGGGCAACATGGTGAAACCCTGTCTCTACAAAAAAAAAAAAAAAATAAATATATATATATATATATATATATATATGCACACACACAAAAATTAGCCGGGCATGGTGGCGCACGCCTGCAGTCCTAGCTACTTGGGAGGCTGAGGTTGGAGGATAGCTTGAGCTTGGTGGGGCGGAGTTTGCAGACAGCTGAGATGGCGCCACTGCACCCTGGCCTGGATGACAGAGTCAGACACTGTCTAAAAATAAAATAAAATTAAATTTAAAGAGGACGTCCTATGACCCTGTTAACAGCCTTCCTGGTAGGGTCTGGAAGTCTTGCCTCAGTGAGGTGCACGTGGAACCGGAAGAGGGCAGGGGTGCTCTCTCCCAGCTGGTGGCTGTGCCCTGATCTGGTGGCTGTTTTCTGAGCTACTTCCCCACAGGGACAACTTGGCAGCAAGCAGGTCCTGCCACAGGCAGAAAAACCGGAACGTGGGAAAGTACATTCATTTCCCCTAAAGAGCTGGTGACAGTCAGGCTTCTCATACCTCATCACTGCAGGATATACTCATGCCTGCAAACACGGCCTTGGGGCTTGGCACTGGGACCAACGGGTTTTTCTTACTTTCCCAAAGATCCAAGTCTCTCAGTTCTAGCAGAAAGAGGGATACAAATTTGTAGGACCAGAAAGTCACCCCTCAATGCAGCCAGTGTCCCTCATTCCACAGGGAAAGCAAATTCCCAGGCTGAGTTGCCAGAGGCCAAGCTGAGGTGGTGGCCTTTGGCGAAGGCTGGAGGGCCAATGGCTGCCCGTTCTGGCCTCTCAGGAGCACGGCATGGCTCTCTGACCCTTCACAAAGGCACTGGGACCTCCTGCTCCCGGTCACGGGCCTCCCACAGCCTTCAAGACTCAAAGTCCAGGCTAAGACTGGACTAAAGCCAGTCAGGCGGGCCCATGGCGGAGACGCTCAGAACATGGCCCAGACTTCAGGATGTGTCTAGGCACCTCACAACCACTGTGAGGAAGGCTAGCGAAGCCCTGAACTGTGACAATGGCATGGAAACTCTTCATATGCACCGTCTCCAGTACTACAATCATCCTAAGAAGAGGTCATTTTTCCTTTTAAAAATTATTTGAGGCCGGGCGCAGTGGCTCAAGCCTGTAATCCCAGCACTTTGGGAGGCCGAGGCGGGTGGATCACGAGGTCAAGAGATCGAGACCATCCTGGTCAACATGGTGAAACCCCGTCTCTACTAAAAATACAAAAAAAAAATTAGCTGGGCATGGTGGTGCGTGCCTGTAACCCCAGCTACTCAGGAGGCTGAGGCAGGAGAATTGCCTGAACCCAGGAGGCGGAGGTTGCGGTGAGCCGAGATCGCGCCATTGCACTCCAGCCTGGGTAACAAGAGCGAAACTCCGTCTCAAAAAAAAAAAAAAAAATTATTTGAGACAGGGTCTTGCTATGTTGCCCACGCTGGTCTTGAGCTCCTGGGCTCAAGGCATCCTCCTGCCTCAGTTTCTCAAAGTGCTGGGATTAGAGGTGTGCTCACCACTCCCAGCTAATGTATTTTTTTGTAGAGATGAGGTCTCACTTTGTTGCCTAGGCTGGTCTCAAAACTCCTGGGCTCAAGCAATTCACCTGCTTCAGCTTCCCAAAGTGCTGGGATTAAAGGTGTGAGCCACCTTGCCCGGCCAGTTTTTCTATTTTAAAGAGAATTACAAATGAAGCTCAGAGATGTAAAGTAATTAATCCAGCACTTAAGTACCAAAAAGACATTCCAGTTCAGTCAGTCTCTTCATCAAACTTCCCAAATGCTAAAGTCAGCAAAAACTCCTGCTCCAGATCTAGGAACAGGCCTGTGATCCTAGTTTGTGGAGTAGCTGAAGAATTTTCCAGAAGTCCCTTTAACTCCTCAGAGAAAAGAACATTTTTCCCTCTTATGCAAGCCTGCTCAGTTAGGCCTTGGAGAGCTGAACGGGTGAGGCTGTGCGGGCGCTGGATCACGCACTAAACCACACCCACCCGCCAAGTGACAGACGAAAGAGACAGGCGGCAAGGTCAGTGGGCATGAGGACTCCACGCCAGGTCTCTGAACCCATCCCCCGGAATGCCATAGGCCAGGCTGTGACAGTCAAAATAGCTGCTTTCTGCTGAGAAAGGATGAACTATGACTTCCCCGGGGAAAGCAAATAAACCTTGGCAGTAGGGGAGGCCGCTCAGTGTGAACTTGGTTTGCACAATGTGTTCAGTTATGTAATGGAGGATTGGATTGCGCAGTTCTCTCCTTGGCGAGAGGGAGCTCTTCCTGGAGTGCCCACCAGCTCCTCCTTCCTCAGGAGAGGGGTGTGGCTGTATCCTTGGCAATGCTATGGTCCCCTAACAGGGAACTGCTGGGGTGCTTTCTCCCTCCTGTAACCCCCCCACCTTACCCCACAGCCCCTTGGAGACTCGGTTCCTAAGCCACAGGTCTGCATCAAGAACCAGACACAGGCAGCCTAGGGGGCCAGCTGGGCTAGGCAGTGACCCTCCTCCTCCTCAGGGCCCTCGACCTCTAAGATTTGGCCTCCTCTACCCTGCGGCCAGGGCCTTCACTCCGCTGAGTGTCTTCACTGGACCCAGTAAAGGCCACAGGGCCCACTGAGGCCCCATCCAAACTCACTGTTTCCTTCCTACAGATTCTTTTCCTGAAATCCCTTTGCACTTAGCCACAGAATCATCACACAGCAGAGCTGCAAGGAGCCTTGCAGACGGCTGAGCCGAACCTCATTTTACAGATGAGGTCCAGAGACGGGACACGTGAATGGCAGAGCTGGGAGATGACCCAAGTCTCTTTTCCAGCCCAATCCTCTTGCCACATCACTGTCTTAGGTCTCAAGGGAATGGGATTTATGGCCTAGCAGAGGTGGGTTTTGAGTATGAGATCCTAGAGGCTCTTCACATCACTACCTGTCTACTCCATCTGTGCCCACTCCCACCCCAAGTGGGTGGGCTTCGAGCTATTTTTTCAGCAGGGGTGACCAACTCATGCTTGGCCCTCCCTTATCTGGTATGCCCAGCTGTGTTCCATGCTTTTGAATCTCTTGGCGTAAGAACTGAGAAATTAGTCTCAGTAGCCCCTGCCTTCACATGTCTGGGTCTGGGCCAAGACACCAGAATGGGAGTCAAGGTGCCAGGTGACCAATTACCAAGCCTGGGTATGCTGGCTCTCAGGGTAAGAGGAGGGGCACTGTGCATGGGTGACCCCGGGCTCCCTGAAAGTGCCAGTTACACATAAGATATCAGGCAAGAACCAGGGCACCCCAGGAGAAGCCTGAAGAGAGAGCCACTCTGCCTCCTGCAATGGTC